CCTTGATTGCAACCAGTCGTCCTGTCCCTGCAGCTGAAAAACACCCCCATAGCATGATGCTGCCACCACCATGCTTCACTGTTGGGACTGTATTGGACAGGTGATGAGCAGTGCCTGGTTTTCTCCACACATACCACTTAGAATTAAGGCCAAAAAGTTCTATCTTGGTCTCATCAGACCAGAGAATCTTATTTCTCACCATCTTGGAGTCCTTCAGGTGTTTTTTAGTAAATTCCATGCGGGCTTTCATGTGTCTTGCACTGAGGAGAGGCTTCCGTTGGGCCACTCTGCCCTAAAGCCCCGACTGGTGGAGGGCTGCAGTGATGGTTGACTTTCTTTGACTTTCTACAACTTTCTCCCATCTCCTGACTGCATCTCTGGAGCTCAGCTACAGTCATCTTTGGGTTCTTCTGTACCTCTCTCACCAAGGCTCTTCTCCCCCGATAGCTCAGTTTGGCCGGACGGCCAGCTCTAGGAAGGGTTCTGGTCGTCCCAAACGTCTTCCATTTAAGGATTATGGAGGCCCCTGTGCTCTTAGGAACCTTAAGTGCAGCAGAAATTCTTTTTTTTTTTGTAACCTTGGCCAGATCTGTGCCTTGCCACAATTCTGTCTCTGAGCTCTTCAGGCAGTTCCTTTGACTTCATGATTCTCATTTGCTCTGACATGCACTGTGAGCTGTAGGGTCTTATATAGACAGGTGTGTGGCTTTTCCTAATCACGTCCAATCAGTATAATCAAACACAGCTGGACTCAAATGAAGGTGTAGAACCATCTCTGGGATGATCAGAAGAAATGGACAGCACCTAAGTTAAATATATGAGTGTCACAGCAAAGGGGCTGAATACTTATGACCATGTGATATTTCAGTTTTTCTTTTTTAATAAATCTGCAAAAATGTCAAAAATTCTGTGTTTTTCTGTCAATATGGGGTGCTGTGTGTACATTAATGAGGAAAAAATGAACTTAAAGGATTTTAGCATATGGCTGCAATATAACAAAGAGGGAAAAATTTAAGGGGGTCTGAATACTTTCCATACCCACTGTGTATGTATATAGAAAAAATGCTATATTTTAAAAGCAAAATGTCCCTTTAATCGCCCATCTACTAGGTAAAATGGAGTCAGCAGAATCTGCAGGCACCATTTTGCTTCAACCTTCATCTTAACTGGTGATACAAAGCACAGCACACTTAATAGACAAAACAAGCAAAAAAAGAACAAAGAGCAGCGAGTGACACAAGCACTGATCACAATTAATAACAGACATAAAACCTCACTGGGACAATGCTAATGATGTGACAGGGTTATACACAAAACAGCTTTCCTTCTCACTGCCAAGGACAAAGGATCAGAAGTGTCATTTTCTCACCAAATAGTTCCCTCCTGTGGCCTTTCACGGATCAAAACAAAGCAACAGCTCATAAGGTTAACTGAACTCTCCTGACAGAGAATTCTCATCCAGCCTACTCAAGGGTGCTATAAGACAAAAAGAGTAGTAAAGGATCTGCTGTGCTGTCGCATCTACTGAGATTTCTCTGTGTGCTGCAGTCAAGATGGAAGTTTTTCCTGCTGTTCCCAGCGCTTCAGTCTTACCCTCTCTCTTCCAGCGGTGGCGCCGTATGGAAGCGGTGGTGATGGCCGAGATGGAGATACGGCTAATGGTGGGCGTCACCTCCACCTGGAGCACCTTGCGCCCCCGTGGTTCATCAGGAGCGCTTTCTGGCAACGAGTTCCTCATGGCGTTCCCCAACTGGAGTCCAGATCAGTACAGAGTTAAATGACTGAACCAGGAAGATATCGCACTATACTATATTTTTCTAAAGAGTTTTTATATGACTCAGGTTCCAGTTACTGTAGTGTGTTTGTGTAATTAAAACCATGCATACAGTGCTGTTAGTCTTACCAGGAGAGGCTGGGAGTAAAGCTCCAGCTGAGCTCTGTACAGAATGTCCTCCAGAGCTTCCCGGCCCATCTCCCATTCTCCATTGTATCTACACATCACAACACAAAACACAAAAGCACACACCCCCGCACTTTAAAACGACATCAGGTTGTGAGCTTCTGATAAGATGCCTTGATGTCTGAGTCACATCCCCCTGAACTATTATTAGTCATTTAGTAATGCCTGTGGCTACAGTTAGGGAAGGAAAGTTTGGCACATCTGTAGTCAGAGCGATTATACCTCTCTGTCAAACATGGATCTAACCTTTCTTTGAAAGTACAAAACACAGTAAAGCTTTAAAGTCAACACATGCCTTAGAAATCCTGTGCAGTAAACATCACACACATACATATACACGCAAATCATTCAATTGGTCATACTATGCATATTTGTAGGCTGTGTAATTAATCATGTATTATAACATACAATTTTCAGCAGACTGACAATTTAGATATAATGAAACTGTTGATCAAATAGCACGCTGTTTATTGTTTATAAAGATGGTAAAGGACAGCCCCCAAGAACGCCTGGGATAGATGAACACTGAATGTTTAAATGAGCAAAAACAGGATGATAGCAAGTGCTGTTATTGTTACGTTTTCATCATCCAGCTCTGTGTTATGGATGATGTCATATCCCCACATTCAGTCGAGAAGGATGAGAGGAACCTCAATGATAAATAAATAAATAAATAACATATAAAGGAAGGTGAGCTGCACAGGCTGAGCTCTCTGATCCTGTCCTGCAGATGTAACAATCACACAGGCAGGGGCAAATGCGTGGGTTCCCTTTAGACTCATGATGAAAAGAATGGAATGAATGGGCAGGTAAAACAGACTCTCTGATGTTGTGAAGACTAAAAATGGGGGTGGGGTGTCCTAACATCCCTGCTCCCACTCTCTGTTCATGTGGCGTTCAAGTGCTCTCGCATTGTCCGACATATTGATCTAAATCCCAGGTCCTTCTGCATGCGTGAATTCATGTTGCCCTTCATGTGCGTCTGTTCAGGTCAAGGGTGAATGCGAGCTGGTAGCGAGGTGCCCTATGGCAGGGATTACTAACAAGGCCGTGGCTGCTTAATCGCCAGCCCGTAAATGCAGCTGCCGCCATTGTTACGGCAGGGGTTTTGGTGGTATGGCGTGCATTGAAATGCCGTGAAAAGCCAAACTTTTAAAAAATGTTTAAAAACTCAAATAGGCTATAAGACTAATAAACAGGTGGTCTGGAAGTCTCCAGTGGGAATGGGCTCTGCAGGTTATTTGGCTGGTTGAGCGTCCCCCTTCCCACTACGCAGATTGCTACTGTGTACCCTCATGGGGCAGAATGCATCCTCATCCTCTCCCTCTCTCCTTCCACACTATCCTCTGCAGTGGTGATTCCAGTTCATCTCTGAGGACAGGCTGTCATCGAGGAGCTGTAATTAGCTTTGCAACGACTGTCCCCATCTGGGATGAAATCACCTGCTCCCACAATGTACTGCCAATGTAATCGGCCTGTACATTGTGGAGCCGCTGTCCTTGACAGAGTGCTAGCATATGCTATTAAAAGATTTTGTGCAGTAGATCACGGCAAGCTAAAAGAGAGACCACCATCATTAGTGATGTCCTACAGAGGCAAACAACAGAAACGGGAAACATTTTATCTCATCTGTTAGCTATATTTGTACCTCATAAAGGAAATCTGTACATATTACATCTGTTAAAGTGATCTGTAAAATTTAAGATCATCTTCCTCTCAGTTACCTGATATGTTTTGCACAATTTCCTCAATTATAAGGTTTTAAAACATGGTGAGAAATGGCACGAATTAAAAGCCACTTGAAGCAGCTATATTAGATATTTTTTATAACAATGTACCAAATGATTGTAAAAACGATTTGAAAGAGCTGCTTGTGACAATCAATCTACAGAGAAGCATCATTTGAATATGAAGCTCTGCTCCAGTTTACAGAGCTTTATACCACATTTCAGCTCTGTCTGTCTTGTATCTAAACTTGAAAGTTCTCAGTGTTGTTTTTGGTCTCAGCAGGCAGCTGTTTTCAGCAGACAAACCTCTGAAACCCACCATACACAGTACCACCTGCTTAGTGCTGATCAGCATACAGACACAGTTAGTGGTTAGCTGGTAAACATGGTTAGGATTTAGCAGCTAAAGAGTTGGTTAGAAACCAAAAACAGCTGAAAGACTGGACTTGAATTCAACTGGTGGTCAGAGGCGCAACTCCAAAGAATGACAACGATGCTCTGTAATTGTTGGATGTGTAAATAAGCAACTATTTGCTCCCAGGTTAGCCATAGTAAAATTAAAGCTGATAATATGCCAAGATACATACATAGCATGATAAACAGCAGTCAGCATCTGCACCATGAATTCGGGGGCCAGCAGCACACGGTTGCACGGTTCCCTCCACAGCTTCTGTTGCTGGCGGGGGAAGCCACATACACACAACCTGAACCAGGAACACACACACACAGAGTTAAATGAGTAAGGTCTGTGAGGTCATACACAGTCACAAACAAAGGGAGCTGGTTTAGGAGTAAATGTTAAGTGAAAGGTTACAAGGTATTTTACTGTTTAAATTGCAAGTGCCCTCTGACCTCTGTAAGAAGCCTTCGGACAAGCCTGAAAGAGAAGAACAACTAAAGGGAGGATCAGTCACTACCTAGTGGCGTTTTCAGCCTGCTTTAATCGTGCCGAGCCGAGCGGGCACAGGTTGGCCTCTGTGTCCCTCTGTTCCTAGCACCAACGGTTCATTGTGCTGACTTGGGCTCAGCTGGCCCTGCTTCCAGCGAGGGCTAAGTGGGGCCGAGCTCCGCCTTCAACAAAGCCAGCATACTGAGACACACGATTGCTGTATCGTTGTGCTGAGGGAGTGTGCTCACACATTCAGCACTGATTTTTTTTTAAATCTGTAGTTTAATTGCACTTACTTGGTGTTCTGATGAGGGGTTAAAATAACGCCTAACCCCAAGCTCAAAAGTTCAGGGCGGCTCTGCCGCACACATCTCAGTTTAGCAGCAGAGGTCAATAAAATGCCATCAGTAAAACTAAACCAAGAGAATCATTTAAAAGTGAGCAGGATGGACAAGGTTAGATGACAGTGTTTGGGGTCTACTCTGTGCGATGGAGTTCACAGACAGAGCATTGTTCTCATGCTCTTAAATCTTCACAGTCACTGTTTTCCGTCTGTCTAGACTGAGCCTGCTTAAGGCGCTGTCTGCCTGCCCGCTCACAGCAGGGAAGTCTTCATGTCCTTAATTGTCTACAGGCTGCAGTGAACAATCACCATGTGATAGCTCCACTACGAAGCCTCATATCGTGAATTCTACATTGATACATTTCTCCTAACTCCAGGCTTTTTCATAGGTTCCAACACAGACGGAGCCAGACAGATGTCCGGCAGTGATACTTTCATTTGGCCAGTCACAGACAATTAATGAAAGCTAATGTCCTCCCGCAAAGTGGACAGTCGGTATCGAGGTCAGTGTATGGCTACAGGCTAGAAGAGGTCATTTAATCCTAGTTTCAGGAGAGCCAGTAATGAAGGTAGAAGAGGGGAGGGTGGAAAAAAATTTAAATAAACATGTTTTTTTTCCTCACCGTGAGCTCATTCTGCAGACCGACTGGTAGGAAGAAAGAGGCATGTAGACCACAGCAGAGTTGTAGCAGAGCATGAGGAAACACAGCACTTCAAACCTACAACCACAAAACACAGAAAGAAGCACAGTAATACAGACTCGTATTAGGCTCTAATCAACTCAGTTAACAAAGAGAAGTTGGTGAAGTTAAGAAAATCAGTTTTATTAGGAAATCAATTCAACCTCAAATTATAAATCCACATTCTAACCAACACTTGTTTGTTTTCCTCTACTGAGCAACTCTATAAACTGTTAATAGTCTACAAAGCAAACTGCTTACCTAAGCAGCTTTGTACCTTATGTAGATGCAAATCCTAAGTGCAGTAATCAGTGTGGCAGCGCTGCAGAATAAGGCCAAATACACAAAGTCCGAGACTAAAGATTCAAGTCTGACGACTGATGCTACATATTAAATGGTCATAAAATGTGACCTGGTCTTCAACTAAGTCACAAATACAGACCATCCCAATGTGCTGAAGCTAGAGTAATAAACCACAAAACAAAAAATCGTTTGTGTCTTTACTGACCACACTGATTAAACGTTCTCAGTGCTGGTGGAAAAAGTAAGTGAGCCCTTGGATTTAATAACTGGTTGAACCTCCTTCAGACAAACTGAGGCGTTTGCATACTTTTTCCAACCTACACTGTGAAAATATTAATGCTGCATGTGTGTTAGTGTGAGTTGTTGGGGAACAACCCAGAGGAAGACATTGAGTGTAAGGCCCATAATGGACTCTGTGCTCAGGGGGAGGTAAATGGCCTGGCTGTACTGTATATCATCAGTCGAAGTGAGCCAGCACTTCTTAGAAGCTCTGGGCTTTCTTCTCATAAACACTATCTCAGGCCCGGCCGCACAAATGGATTTCCAGATACAGTCATGGCCCAAAATATCGGCACCCCTGGATTTCTCTCAGATAACGCACCACTTCTACCAGAAAATTGTTGCAATCACAAATTCATTGGTAATTTCATGTTTATTTCTTTTGTTTGCATTGGAACAACACAAAAAAAGAAATAAACTGGACAGAATTAGTGACACCTTTTCAAAGTAATCAGAAATAGTTGTATTTCGAGCAAGTGATGCTCCTTTAATTTGTAATGAAACTCACCTGTAGCAATCAACAGGTGCTGGCAATATAGAAAGCATACTTGCAGTAGATGGCAGATGCAACGAAGGATTGTTTGAATGATGGTGTGTGCTACCAAATAATAAGTTGAGGATGTCAATAATTCTGTCCAGTTCATTTTTTTGGAGTTCTGTTAGGAATGTATCAGATTTGTTTTTTTTTTCCTCTGCTTTTTTGTGCTGTTACAATGCAAACAAAAGAAATAAACATCAGAATACCAAAGAATTTGTGATTCCAACAATTTTCTGGGAGAAGTAGTGCATTATCTGACAGAAATGCAGGGGTGTCAATATTTTTGGCCATGACTATAAGCTATGGCCCTGCTGAAAGCCATTCAGTAAATTTATGATGCTCCATGTTCATCAGATGTGCTACCAAATAATAAGTTGAGGATGTCAATAATTCTGTCCAGTTCATTTTTTTGGAGTTCTGTTAGGAATGTATCAGATTTGTTTTTTTTTTCCTCTGCTTTTTTGTGCTGTTACAATGCAAACAAAAGAAATAAACATCAGAATACCAAAGAATTTGTGATTCCAACAATTTTCTGGGAGAAGTAGTGCATTATCTGACAGAAATGCAGGGGTGTCAATATTTTTGGCCATGACTATAAGCTATGGCCCTGCTGAAAGCCATTCAGTAAATTTATGATGCTCCATGTTCATCAGAGCCAAGGACACATTTTGCCCTGGTGACCAGTATTACCTGGGCTACCCTTACATTATCAACTGCAATAGCTCACATGGATGTCTGTGTCTGGTTGTGCCACTGCTAACAAACATATACAAAGTGACCGAGGGGGGCATAATGAGAGTTAAGGGTTATGCTCTGATCATCTTAAAAGGTCTTTTTCATCTTACAGGCAAAAATGAAAACCTTTTCTTAAAGAAAAAAAAAGGACAAAGGAGAATACTGACATGGATTCAGTCTGGTATTCAGTCACGTGCATCAGTTACATGAATTTCCCGACACTGAGCAGCCTACAGCGCTGCCACCTCTCTGTATCCAAAAGAGTAACAAAGGTTTCATCCTCTGGTAACTCATTCAGTATGCCAGACTTAGCACTGTGTCTCTAAACTGTTGTGATGTTCTTACTACATCCCTAATTATTCCCTCTCTGTAAGCAGCTGCTGGAGTCTGAGTCGTACCTGTTCTGAGCTGTGAAGGTCTCTCTCTGAGGGTGAAGACCGCTGTACACCACCCCGATGAGGTCATGCTGACAGAGAGCCCCCTCTGTCAATGCCATGGACCCCAGGCTAGAAGGCTATACACACACACACAAAAGAGAAATATGGATTAAAAGCTTTTACAACATGCTAGTAAACTGGCAGTGAGATTGGTGGGAGGCAGCAGGTGAAAACAAGCAGTGACCTTCAAGTTGTTGACTGACAAACTTATGGCCTTTGCTCTAATGAAAAGCTGTGTTGACTAGTTTTCATTGTATTACAGTGGAATGATATTACTGGTGAGCCTGTGCCAAACTCTCACTTTGGACTGGATCACTGGAACTGGCAGCACTTGACTTATTCCTGATAATCCTATTTATCCATTTCCATTTTTTTTTTATTGCAACACAAAATAGCACATTTACAGGACAAAGGACATAACATAGAAGATGAGACAACAGACATTAACAAAAGAGACAAAGGGATTATTAAATGAAGTTGAGTATGTGAAAGTGTGTGGTGTGGGTGTATCCAACTCCTGGAGAATGTGTTAATAATGGAAAAAGTTTCTGAACTGCAGGGGTCCTGTAAATATAATAATAAGTCATCTGCATTAAAGACTAATTTTATGTTGCGAGTCAGTATCTTGTATTCCTTTGATGCTATTATTCTGTTGTATTGGTGCTGCCAGAGGTTCAATGAAAATGGCGAATAGAGATGGTGAGAGTGGGAATCCTTGTCTGGTTCCCAGGTGAAGTGTGAAACTTGTGAGGTCCACTTCCAAATTTAAGAACGGATAGTTATTAGTTTTCTTGTAGACTTTCTCCACTAAAATCTAAATGTTGAAGTTTTCCCTGTATCTTCTACAAAGTCATTCATGAAACATTATGCACAATTAGCATTTAAAAGGTTTTACTTGAATATTCATAATTGCATTTTGGATATTTAAAGTGACATTTTGACTAGTCGAAATTACAGTCCTGATCAGTAAGAATGACAATTTCAGATATCTACAATTCCTTTTTGGATATCCAAAATGACATTACTGATGTCACTGCGCAGATTTTAGCATCCCAACCACGCTCCTCAATTACAAAAAGTACTATCAGTAGTCTGACCTTCTTCATAGTGATATACAGTACACAGCATTAGTATCTCACTGCCTTCAGTGCCATGATCTCTGCATAAGTTCAAACTGCCTCTGATAAGACCGATCATGTTCAGCAGCACTTCATTTGATATTTTTTGCCATATCTTTTTTTTTTTTTTAAACTTAATAATGATGTGCGATTTTTGCTAGTGTTGGCAATGGGTATTCACAGCATGCTTGTGTTGTTGTTCAAGACCAGCCTGAAGAATACCTGGCAGATTTAATTGACATGGCATAAATAAAATTTGTCTTAAAATTTCTCTTTCTTTCAAGAGTCAAAGAGAAAAAGAAGGAGGTGTGAAGTACTGACTGGTTAGTAGTCAGACCATGACATTTCCCTTATTCTGAAGTCTCCAAATCTTCCATTGAACTACAAGTTAACTTATTTTGCATTTGCTATAAAGTGTTGCCCCCTTTTGAAGCAATTTTCACTCTGTGTGTTCTGCAGACAAGGCGACCACCTTCAGTCAAGTTTCCCTCAGCTCTCTTATAAAAGCCAAAATACAACCAGACCTCAAACTTAGTCCTCTTGAAAAAAACAAAACACAAATGCATGTTGCGTGCTACGTCTGCCACTGCATCTGACTGAGTGTTGATAACTTTGGCTGATGCTGGACATTACCCCTTCAGCGGGAGAAACCGTGAAACCATTTCATCCCTACTGATCAGAATCTAGATCCTCCCACAATTGATTTGTTCTAATTGTGGGAGGATCATTCTTGTTCTTGATTGTCTCTCAAAATACTATATTCTGTTTGGTTTTAGGTACTTTGGAAATTTGTTACTCAAAATATGTGTGTGGTGTTTGATCTTATGGTGTTTTGTTGCTGCTGGAACACAGGAATTTCCCCATTGTGGGATCAATAAAGTCCTACCTACCTAAATTTATGTCTAAGTGAGAATATGTCACAAGGCTACTTCATTTTGATGATGCGTGGAGCAAAAGTCACCTCTAAATTGAATTGATATTCTGTCCTAAGTATCTCGGGTGACTGAGCAGAGAAGGAGAGGAGGATGGATTAATTCAAAAAGAGAGACTGGAGTGTATGCTAATGCTGACAGCCTGGAGATAAGGCCATGCGATGTGCAGAGCCATACCACAGCTTAGGAAGCTTATGGTTCATGCACACACACACATTAGCCTCCGCCTCCTGCCTCCTTCATTCCCTCAGCATGAAGGGAAGAGCCTCTCAAGCTTGTAATTACAGTGATACATCGCCCCCAGCGCATGCCACACACTATAGTCTCATCAACACACACGCTGAGTGCCATCAGCTTTTTCCTACTTTGGACAGGAGGAAAAAAAAGTCTAAAAACAGTCAACAAGACACACTGCGTCCATCTGCCCTCAGCAAATGGTCAGAGGTCAGCATGTCCTTTTAAACACTTACTAATGAATTCCAGCTCAATACAATACTCAATACTGTGCTCTATTTTAGCAGTCAGGTCAGACATTTGGGGGGCTGCATAAACCCAGCATGACAGACAGCTACACTAAGACGGAGCGACAGAAGAGTGAATAGCACAGTTAGGAATTATTGATTTTAAAATTCCAATAACAAAACAAAGATGGAAACATTAGGAGAAAAGAGTAGAGTTTATAAATACTTAATAAAAGTGAAGGTGTGGTGAAGGGTTAGGGTTACACTGTTTGACAAGACAAACAGGCATCGTACCTCATGATATATCGATGGTTTGGACAGAGAAGGGATTGTGAAGGAGAGAAGCTTGCTGTTACCGTCTTTGTCCACAATCTCCTGCAAAAGTAAGAGTGATAAAGAGACCAAAAGATGCTGTGTCAAGTGAGGGAATGGAAAACAGTTTTTAAAAGCCTGGTACACAATGTTCATTTTTACTGAGAGTCAGTAAATGTCAGATTTGACTTGAGCTTTAAACTTTGTTTAGCTCCGGTCTGTGGACTGGGTTAATACTTGGCAGCGTACGGTTAACAACTGCTGTACAATCCACTGTTCCTCTTGCTGCTGCTTATGATACATGTCACTGACAGATTAAATGTCAATGCCAGCACCCTCACCACTCAAGTCCAATTTCACACTGTGATACATAACACAAAAGATGATGCCATTTCTAAGTGCCATGCCCGATTATCTCCACTAGTCGAAATGATAATCAAGTGCATTCACAGAGATATGCAGATGAGTGTTTTTCATTTGGCAAAAAACACTTTATGGCTGATTTGCTATGTAAATCAATTATGTGCAGCTGACAAGGACCTAAGTGGTGTGCAAGGGTCATCAAAAATAGTTTCTACTACATTTCAGCATAGGAGATAACATTAACTGACAAAGATGCTGAAATAACTGAGTTTTGTCAGTGTATGCTATTCCTCACTGTTATCTCTAGAATTTTTGGCAGATGTGGAAAGCAGGGGAGTTTTCATCACATCATCAAATTTGGATAATGTGCTTTAATTGAAATAGTGTTTCAAAGATCAGATTTCTGCTTTCTGACTTTGTGGGTTCACTGCAAGTAAGTGGATGCAAAGAAAACAACAAATATCAGTTCATCCATCCGCCAGTCCAAACTGGTTTTAGAATGAGGAACCATAAAGGCTTTTATCCCTTTATTATTGCATCCTCCCTGACATTCAGCATACTGTTGTTCAGGCCTTGCCATGGCTTTCGTTGGCGAGCAGTCCATCTCTGAATATGTGACGGGACTGCTGAGAGCAAAGCTGTTTATCACGGCTCAGTGGGCAGTGACCATAGGCAAGAGAGGGTTATGAGCACATACAGTATATGTGCACGTGTGTAGAGTGGCTTAGACACAGAGGAATAAATCATTTATGGATATACCTCTAGCTGGGTCAGCTAACATAGAGCTCTTTCTATTGACATCTCTATAGCTCTTAGGCCATTTCCCAAGGGTGCGTCCTGGTGATGCAATCTATCCTCTGTCTATCCATTAACTAAGCTTTTCAGAGGAGATGGCCTTTCTTATCAACAGACAAGCCTTGCTAACCTGTATTAACTCTAAAACATAACCAATGATTTGCATATCGAAACTTGGTTTTTCCAAAATAACGCCTGACTAACTGCAAAGATCCATTCATAGCCATCTGTACAACTGTAAAAATTAAATGTCAGATATGATTCTAAGAATCATTTAGATCCTGCTTAGCTAATTATCAGATGATGTGTCTGAGTTGCTCATTTATGACCAGACTGATGATAAACAGCAGTGTTGCGATCTTCTGTCAGAGTCAGTCAGGGGGCAGCGTCCATCATGCTGTAGGGAATCAGCCTCTAAAAGACACTTTACCTTCACGCTGTTCACAGTGATGCCCATGTGCACCAACTGTTCATGTAAATGAAGGGTGATGTTCATTTGTTTATACTTTACCGACTCTTTCCTCCTTTTCTACAGTCACTCTGTGGTTGCCATTTTGCATCCCTCTTTAGTAACCACGTGGATATGTTAAAACAGGGATGCAAACTGACACACAAAATACATCTCACAGCTAACATGTTTAGAATTCACATATGTTTTATCAAAGATCATGCCTTCCACTCTCTCACCACCACCACCACCACCACCCTCTAGCTGACACCCACCAGGTTATAGATGCCCAGGAGGAGGGCCTCGATGCAGCCATTGCTCTGGCGATCCCTGCTGGCCGTGACGCGCAGGTAAACCCACACCAGCTCCGGTAGGAACTGCAGGGTGAAGCGTCGCAAGCGGTCCTCAGCGCTCCGGTACAGTTCGAACAGCTGGTGGCATACAGGCTCCAGCAGCTGGATTGGAGGAGGAAATAAGTAAATGCAGCTCTGACACCTTATTAAAATATGCACAATGGTTATTGGGTTATTCTAATAAAGTTACGCTGAGAAGGAGTTCAGAAAGTACATTTCATTTACAGTGTCACTCTACAAACCTAATTTAATATATCTCTAAAAACTGGCATCAACAGTCCAACAATCCAAGTGTAACGGTCCAACAATGACTGGTTACATTTTCATCCATGAGCAGCACGTCTCTTTTTGGACATGTAATCCAAAATATCCAATCAACAGAAAGGTCTTTTTAGTGTGGACCTTTTTTAAGAAATTTCAGAGATCATCTTAAGTGGCGTTATCTGTTATATTTCAAAGTTAATCAGTTTAACATACCCAAAACAAAGCACATACTGAGGTGCAGATACAATCCAGTTTCTCCCATAAGCAACAGCCTTTCTGAGCAGTCACCAGGAGGACAATGAAACAGTATCTTTTCCTTCACAGCTCTTATTTCAAAACATGAATGGGTATCATCCTGACTAGAACACGGAGGGAAACTTTCGCTGCCGGGAAGTAGTGGGAGGTGCAGTGGGTATAAAGCACTACAATGAAAGTCTTGTCAGATCCAGTCTCAGGGCAGCCAAAGTGTTTATACTGTCCAGGGGTCAGTGAAGAGAGTGTCCACACAGCACTAGCATGTCTCTGTGTGAACACTGTACCCTGGCTGACCCTGAAGTAAGCAGCAATTCATTGACGAACTTGGCAAAGCTTTTGGCCTTCCATGTCATTGGCAAATAAAAAATAAATAAATATAACGCACCCTAACATGCAACAGTTAAGCATGCTTTACAATCCCTCCCTCGCTCACACACACACACTCTCCTGGATTGCTTGTTCAATCATTAATGGGACTGTGCGGCCAGATTGACAACACTAATGGGATTTATGTCCCTGGTTGTTTGACTCCCAGATTCGACCATGAAAAGAGCAGACAAAAGAGAACTGGTGGCACGAACTGTATCATTAGAGTGAAATTAAAGTCCCGTTTCATTGAGTGCCTCAGGCTTTTACTCAAAAGGTCTTTTAGAGAAAATAATGGTTTATCCCTGTTGCTGTAGAAAACACCTGTACATTAAAGAAAAAAGACAGTATGCCTAATAATATAACCCGAGTTTGTGACCAAGTCAGGTGTATATACAGTACAGTACGGGTGTCTGAATCTCTAACGCTGCATTAGCTTTTCCAGTGTGGGCAGCAGATGTTCCAATCTGTCAGAGTGCTGTGTGTGTGTGCCATCTCACTGGTAACGTGGCTGGCACTCTTACTATGTCTGTCCATCATACTCTTGCAGAGCACTGTGTGCATGTGTACCCTGCATGCACAGTCATGCCAGTTTCCTGCTCGCTACTATGACGACATCATGTGAGCCACAAGCAACACATTTCTATGAGCTTAAACAGCCATATTTGAGAACCTATGTATGTGTGTGTGCACTTGGTGTTTCACCTCGTTGTTGGGGTCCTGGATGACTCTGTAGAGTGCCGGCACCAGTGACTTCTTTAGATGAAGGGTGCCGGCGTAGCTGGGGATGTGGGTTTCTGGTAAGGACTGCAGAAAGAAAAGAGAAAGGTTTCTTGAGTGATATTGCACAGTTTGCACGTCCTCACCAGGCTAGAGGTACGACACATAAAGTCTATGCATTCCCCTGGTATCCTACCAAATATGGGAAACAACTTTTTTTTAATTAGCAAAAAACTAACAAATGTTGACTGTCATACGAGCCTTTTTAGCAATGACAAATATCACTAGGTTTTTCTATAAGCCCCCTTACAATTTAAAAACAGGTGTGTTATTGCTATAACAAGGTGTTATTACTAATATTAACAACGGCTCTGTTCAATTCAAATGTCTAAGTACACCATGACAGTGTGGGGTAGCATTTACAATACCAGGTCCCCGGTTCTGAAGCAGCTACATGGATTTCAGCCATCACTAATTTTAATATTTATATCTGTGCTACTGTGACATGCCAAAATGCCATTCTGGGAAATGTGGAGAAATCACTGACTGGGTAAGTCTGTAAGGCAGGTTAAGTAAAAGTGTGGACACTAATAAAAAAAAGAACCACAAAATAACTTGAAGGTACAGAACATAACAGAGTGATGATATCTGACAGGCTCAGAATACCCCGGGGTGAATTTCTTTAAATGATCACCAGTGTGCGACTATCTGCAGATGACAGATGGCAGAGATACCCTCTCAGCATGGCCTCAGTGTGGTCATTCTGAGGACAGAACACAATGTGCCTGGTCTGCACCATGAGTCATACCAATCTATTTCTCTCACTATTCATCATACTCCCTCCTTTCTCTCTTTTATATTTTTCTGTTATCCTCTGACCCCCACCCCCCAACCCCAAATGCTGGGATAAATTTATCAGACTTGCCTGGTTGAGCTTTTCTTTAGAGGAATTGTCAGTATCTGTGACATTACCAAGTCTGCCCTAATGCAGTTTAAGAGCAAAACTAAACTCACTAATCAACTGCGTGTTAATCATCTTTTCAGATTCAACACACTTTCCTCAACATCACTGTGGCTATTGCACATGTTTATACAGAGCTCAGGTAATTCAAAGGATAAGGTCACTCTCTATATTAACAGTCTCCATACAGAGACTAAAACCAACGGTGAATTGCCTCTACTCATTGTTAATGTCCGTCAGTGTGTCAGTCCTGGATCAACTTAATCGTTTCTGCCATAGACCTCCACTGTTGTTCAAAAACAATTAAAAACACATCAGTGAAACACACCACTGCACTGGGTGACATTTTTTAAATTAGCAAACCCCAGACCTGAGCATGAGGAGCAGCGGAATGTAAACAAAGCAGGGTGCTCGTGCATGCAAAGTTGACTCTGACTCTGCAACTGGTGCATTTCTACTAAACTGTAGTTAGAGTTGGTGACCCTTGCACACTCTACATACTCTGGTATCACAGTCCACCCACACTGCCTCCAACGAAGAGTTCCAGGAGTACACTTCATAAAGTCATGGTGGTCAACAGAGAAGGGTCTTTACCTTGAATTCTGAGAGCCATTCTTCGACAACACCACGCTCTGAACCCAGCATCTTTCTCAGCGATCTCCTCTAGGCTGCCTAGTGGACAATGAAAGATAGAGCAGAGAGGGGAAAGAGGAGATAGCAATACAGTGAAAGAAAAGGAGAGCAAAGATTGTGAAAAAGAAGAAGACATGGGTGAGGGCAAAGTGGAGAAGAGAAAGGAGAAGAGTTGGTTAAAGAAAGGGCACAGGAAAATGCAGGAAAGAAGTCAGTATTTACTCAACCAACATACTCAATAACAAAAGCTCTAATATTTTAATGCTGTACAATTTATTTTCATAATGTTAATACGCCATTTTCACATTCGCAATATAACAAGAAACACAAGGTATAAGATAACAAAGTGCCTTTCGTTTCACCAAATATATTCTGATCCCTAGCTGTAGGCGCACTGTTATCCTACTCCTGTTCTCGGGATCCAGCAGCTAAAATTATCTTCAGCAAAATGCCCAAAATAACAAGTCATTTCTTCCTCGGACCTCATCCCATGCAAAATACATTCACATCAATTATCCCGTAGGAACCAGGCATGTGTCTCAGCATGAGAAAGCAAGTGTGTGCGTGTGTAGTCTGATGGAGTGAGGTGGAGCAGCCACAGGCCCAAAAGACAGTTTGGATACGAACTGCAGGTGATGTGGTGAGGGACCCAGTGTGCCAAGCTGTCAAAATGTCAGAGGAAAACCACGCTTACCTAGAGGCAGATGTAGTAGACACCCTTCACCGAATGCTATCATGACTGAGGTACCATTATTGAGATTTCGGAAGGGCAAAAGCTGAAAATACATGTATAGCAACAACCAGAGCTGTGTGGGCCACAGTTCTGAGTGAAATCTGTAATCAACCACTGTGACTTAAACAGCTAATTTATGAACTCAACCAGACATTAATGGGAATAAGAAATCAACCAATTCCGTATGAATTTACAGCCTGGATGGTGCTATTAACCTCACCAACTGCAACTACCCACAACAGGCATATAAATGCTTTATCCCTGACTCCAGCCTCAGCCACGTGGTGTTGTGTGAATCATGGTCACACTGGAGTCTTTCTGGCACCAAGAACCAACAACTAACATAACATCAACTGTCATGTTTCATGCCTTATTAAAGGAAATGCTTTGCGTCAACATGTGTGGCCTTGTCATTTCAAGGACACGGTGCCATTGTACAAGCCCTGCCAAAGCATGTTTTTGAGAAAGGAGTCTGGTTTCTTAGTTCACTCACCTCGGTTAAGCTACACCACCACTGAAGCCTTAGCCCTTGAAGAAAAAAAAAAGGACTGTGTGGCTCATAAACTTGTGGTTCTGACTTGATGGGATTAAGGATTACGATTAACTCAATATATTCAAAGTGAAAAGATCACACTGAACATTTCAGGCAGGAGCCACTGTTAGCTGACTGTAAGCTACATCCAACACACCGACTCTGTTATCTGCATGCTTAAAACACAACTGTCTTTTTTATCAAATACTGTGGATGTGCTGGCGATGTTCAACTAACCTAAACTGAGGTACTGCAACACTGATAACACATACTGATATACCATATGCCATGAAATATAACACATATTGTTACATAAGAATACAAGAATACAATTGTAATTAGAAACCACATTGTTCAACTATTGTTCAAAGGAGGCAAAACCTGTTGCTGACTTCTGCTCTGAAATTTAGAAGTGACAAATTTAAGCATTGCTTGTGGGCCTTTTTAAATTCAAGGCAAGACTAAACATAAATGCAACAAATCCTATTTATACTGAGGCAAACCTTTAAGCAGGACTACCTACAGTACCCTGTGGCTCCTCGGTATTCCACACCAGTGTTCAGAGGATCTCACCCAAATCCAATATAAAATGATGCATGACTTCCCGAATGTTGAAGATAAGCCTGAAAATGTTACAAAACGGGCTTGGAGGAGCAAGATATCAGATTCGCTGTTGGGCTGGAGGAGACAGAGCTCATGTTCACTACTCAGAGCAGATGACGATCTGAACAAATGAAATCGTTTTGTGTGAGCACACTCCTTAAATCTGTGGGAAATGAAAGGTTCCATTTACTTAGCTTGTTCAGCTCTTGTGAAAGGCTGACTCATCCATTTCCACTGGCTTGTCAAACTGTCAAAGACTCGCTGAGGTGAAATTCTCCATCGACAGGGCAGGCTTAACAGTTACCATGGGAACTATGGTCAAGTGACTTTCAGGCGATGGCGAAAATTCAACAAGATGTTCATTTCGGAAAGACAAATAAAAAATACTAAATAAATAAAAAACCCAAAACAAAACAACAACAAAAAAACAAGAGCACCAACACATGTAAAGATGTCAGAATTTGTTGCCTGCATATGTCAGTAGCACCATAACACTAGAAGTGAGAGCTCATTGTTGCCTTTTTCGTATAACAAAGGTGAAAACACAATACCAGAGGAATAGCATGTGCTTAACTTTGGTAAGAGCACCTGTAACTGCAGTATAAAGAAAAATGCACTCCATGAATCAGATCATCAGGGGACGAACTGTCAACAGCTCATGTTGAAATGACATCGGCACTCTCTGACAGGTCAGGCTGATACTTTTCAAGAGTAACATTTTGCATAACTAATTTTCACAATATAGTCTATATATACCTAAATAACATGTGCACACTTAAGACTTTCCAACAGAGGATTTAGTCTGCACCACTTTCCACAATTCGGACAAATGTAATGTTTGTGTTTTGCCTCAGGATTCCATGCGTAATTGAAAATGTATACTTTTATCTCAATATGTACACTGTGTATAAAACCTTAAGGTATTTATGTGGTCTCAAGGCTGAAACTAAATGTTCCCAATTCAGCTGTTCATGAGTATCAACACAGTACAAAATATGCGTTGACTTTAAAGGCAGCTTGTTGTGCTGCTGTACGTACCTCAGTGTCCCAGAACTCAGATCTCCACTAGGAGAGGCAAATGGTTGTCCACAGTGTCACGCATCTGTCACTCACTGAGGCTCACCTGCAACAACATGGAGGAAAAAGATCCATCACCTCTGATCATCCTGTGAAAACTCATCCAAAAGCATCTGCATAAAAGAATGATTAAACTGAATTATCAAAGCTTGTGCAGGCCATAGTGTTACCATGTGCCATGTTTGTGTACATGTCCAGCATGGCAGTTAGACAAACCTGTATAACCAGCAGGGACAAAACTATCTTCAGTCTTGGGATGAGGCTTATTTCAAAGTCGAAATTTCAAGTGAGTGAGTGAGGGACATAGGCTAACTGAAACCATCATATTCTCACATTTTAGGATGCTCTTTTGTTTTAAAATTGACTAAAATATTTAATCGATTGTCAAAATAGTTGTCAGTTATTTTTCTTTAGAAAATAGCAAAATAAAGACAGACAACTTTGAAAGGCATTACAAATAAACTTCAGCATTTCACACAATGGCTCTGAAACAGACCTATTTTATTGAAAAGTTAAATTCTGTTGGTAGCCAAACAATATTTATGACAAATAAACAAGTGAAGAGACTCAACAAAACAGCTGACAACCTGGAATACAGTGGATGGTTACTACAACAGCACCACCTGCCACTAAAGACGCTCAGATGTAAGGTTAAAACACCTCTATGATCTTGAGAGGTCTAACGGGTACTTTATAGAACATGCAAACAAACAGCATGTCTCAGAATGGGAAGTATTCTTTTTTTTTTTTTTACTTGAAGGTTACTTTGAGTCATGCACAAGCAGTCAGTTTTTGCTTATTGTTGCATAGCAACAGTCAGCTGGCTAACTTGTTGTCCTCACTTGCTAAAAATGCATCTTGTGGATCCACACCCATAGTGTTCACTGTATTTGGGAGAATGGATCAAGGTTTTAGTGACGCACAACAAGACGCTGCGGAGAACCTCCTCTGCACTGCTGCACTGTATGTGCCACGCCAGTGAGCACTCCACTTGAAGCGAAGCATTTCCAACGCAACCTTGTGTTTATCTGAAGAGCACATTATATTAGTAATTCGTCACAAAGGGTTAAGGAAACTGCCATGTGGACATCCCATCTGCCTAGAATGATGTGTGTACCCTCTTAATCTATCGAGAGTTGTAAAGGAAGCATTCATTTTCCCTCGCCAGATAAAGTGTACTTGTAGTGTGACTCATCATAGCAGAGGGTAACAGTGGCTCCAGGCTGAGTAAAACATGCATAGGGAGGGACAAGGGATGAGTAATACGACATACTTCAGTATAATCTGCAACATAAATACATTCCATGCTACAGTAGTTGACAGAAGCTTGAAAGATGAAGTCTGAACAGGAAATACTTTAAATCCCTTAGAACCAGATACAACCACGAGTCCCCATAAGAAGTGATCAACTTCTTATCCCATTCTATCTCTGTGGTAGAGATCACACTATGCCTCAGAACTGAAGCAAATAGCACAGGCTTTTGATTTGTCAGACATTTCACATGTTGGGTTAGCCAGAAATTTGCTTTTATTATTAACAAATTCTGTTCATAAAGCCATTTCCCAGAATGCAAATTATATCCTGTTATTCAGAATACCCACATTGTGAAATAAAGTTACATATACTGAGGAAGGAGTTAGCGCCACAGTGTCAACACTCGCACAAACAATCTTTGACTTTCACTAAGGTCGTTTTCCCACGTTCAAACGGTATCGCAAATCAATCATAAGATCATAGAACATCAAAATTGTGTAAAGGAACTGGGTTTTATAACTGTACAAACTTTGTTTCTTCTGTTGGGCTTCTGAACTTCATCCATTTAAGGTGTAATGCGACATTTGCAAGGACATTTGTAATTACCTATCAAGCTACACTCCTTGCTTTACTTTATATACTTTTTACAGTAGTAAATATATGAGATACCTCTAACATATCCTATCATGTATGACTGTTGCTCACTCCTGCCCTTTATTTATTTTTTTAAGCACAGCTATTCAACAATAAGGAATACATATAGCAGGAAGTCTCTACAGCCAAACTGTAAGATAAGAAAAATAACTGTACGGTTACATGCCATTCACCAGTTTCAGTCTAAAGGAGTTTCCCTGTTATACAGGTACACCCCAAAAGCAAACATAGCAACATGAAACTACTATAAGAATAAGACATACTATTCCTGTTACCCAGACAATCTAGTCTAGTTACAGCAACAACATAATTAGCTGTACTTGGACGCCACAGTGTAACTCCTCCCCACTCTGCACCCATCTCATCCCAGTATCTGCATGTCTAGTAACAACAGCGCTCTCCAGCCAGCCTTCGCTGTTGGCTAAATAAGTCATACACCTAATGAGGCCTGGTGAATGAAAATAATCCAACTTTCCTTCCAAGGCTGCTCTTCCTCTACACAGGGCCTGCTCATTGTCTTGTGGTAGGGTTCATAAGGGAATAGGAGAGTGCCAACCCATCCTGTTTACAGCACTTCAAACCCCAAATCACAATGACACACCACTAAACAGTCCACGGAGTTGAGACATAGCCAACAAGTGCATTTCGGAAAACCGAGTTTCAAGACAGAACAATTGTAATGTACAATTTGCTTCTCTGTCTCTGCAGTCCGGGAGTTTCAAGACTCACTTGCTCTACCAAAACAATAAACTGTCATAAATATTAAAGTCTGTAGTAGTATCGTCACCATTTGACCTCAGAACTACACTCAGTTGCCAGCTGGCATAATCTAATATTAGTGGAATGGCATTCACAACAAAGGAGCAAAATTAAGCCTTTTGTTCAAATATTTACCATTCAATATGTTGAAGTAAGAACTTTTTGGAAAGTAAGAATCTTATTGATAACTGGAAGAGAACGAGCACTCGGCCTCGCCCTACTGGAGGTGTTACACTGTATTCTGTGGTAGTGCAATACCAAGTTTGCCTTCAGGTTATATTAAGTTTATACACAACAGCAGTGATTTAGTATTTGAACTATAAAGCAGAATTAATATTTAATATGAATTACTATTTTCACGGTGTAGTTCTTACTTTATTGTCCCATCCCTATGGTCTTACCAGCACTGATTAATACATAACTGGGAAAAGGGTCAGTGAGCAGCCTCGTTATGCAGGTGCTGAATGATATGTGTTGTTCTGACTGTACTTGGGCAGGAGGGGAACAAACCGCTCACCATCGGCACTGACTGAGACCATTTTTATTCTGGAGCCTGGAACCTCAGCGGTCAAATTAAAGCTAAAATCCAAAACTATGTTAATATCTCACATACCTGGGCAATGCTGCACTGTGTAGGTGTTTGCGCCATGGCTCCACTCTCACCCACACACAGTTTTAGTCAGCCCTTTCTCCTGCCGCCAGGAGATACATGGCTAACAACAGCTGCATTACATGAAATATGTTGTGCGACACTTTACACAAATGCTACAGTTATGCTAATCAAGTCAGTTCTATGGCAGACACCTAGCTTATATGCTAAAGCCAACATTCTGTCCTGTGTACTGCATGTGTGTTTACCTCACTGTAAGCATCAACAAACCTTAAGGTGATGTTTGACTAATACATTAGGTGGCGTCCTCAAACACCGCATATCACCGATTACAAACCAATGAATAGCGTCCTCAAACACCAAACACTGCATATCACCGATTACAAACCAATGAATCATACAAGTAATTGTAACTAGGTGACTTATTAAACCAGTGTAAAGAAACATGTCTGCAAAGTACAGGGACTTTCAACACTGCTGCACCCACAGCAGAGCAGGCGTGATAGACCTAAAAATCCAAACAGCTAATCTGTTCCTGTTATGATCTACAGCAGACAGTACACATTTTCCCTGCCATGGCTGGCAGTTTTGCAGTTTTGCAGTTTTGCAGTCATGAATTAAACTAACCACCACTGAAAGATCTGACACTGTCAACACCTATTATTTGGATTTTGGGTTACAAAAGGGGTTTTCCATTGATGATTGTTATAGTCGCTATGTGAAGAAACAACCACTTTATTTGCCCACAGTGTGAACTAGAAATTTAATGACTCACCACGAGTCAGCAAGCGAGGATTCACAAAATCCATCTAAGCAAAGCAAAGTGGAAGAACATTTGCAGAAAAATGAGGACAGTGGAGCATTGTTATAACAAATGCAAATGCTGCAGTAGTATTAGTCAGAAGTGTGAAAACTGGGTGCAATATGTAAGTGTAACAAAAATGTCCTAAACACTCAAGCAAAGGATAGCTGTAGTTTGCTGCAGGCCTACAAACAAGTGGTGTGATCACACAAACACATTCTGTCATCTGAACCACAGCTGAAATGTCACTTTTTTAATATTCAGTTTGTTCAACTCCGCATGAACTAGCACTTGTAATCAAAACTGATATCCACACACAATTACTTTTGAGTTAAATCATCAGAAGGAATTTTAGCAAACTGTCACGCCATGAGATTAGTGAAATATTTTGGCAGAGGAAAGCTGAGGAGGGTCAAATCTGAGTTCACTCCCTGTTACTTCAGAAAAGCATGGGGCGGACTTCTTTCCTGCATGTTTGACAATGTTTAAAAGCCTTTTCTGGTGTTAATACAGTTTCAGATGACAAGAAAAAGACAGAGCTGAATATGAAGGTCAGTCTGGACTATGCAAGACTTGGCCTGTCAATATGGATCCCATAAAACAAAATGAAGCAGCTGCCAAACAGTTAACATCATTACTTTTGCTCTCTCACAATAAAATAACTAATAATAATAAAAATCAAAGTAGTGGAACTTGCTTCCTCTCTCAAAGTCAAGTCCAGAATTAAAGCTATATGTGATAACCCATCAGAGAAATGCCACCGTTGGCGGATGACTTTGTTATCAGTGTGATACCTTGTATCAAGGGACAAAAACGCTTACCAAAAGGGAGACGGCACACGTTCCGTCTGCCTGTCTCCTCTCTGCCCTAAATGAACAGTGCCAGGTTTCAACAGTCCAACACTAGGAATTTTTCAAGGTCAGCTTAGCTCAGTCAGCCATGAATTATTGAGCTTGAGCAAGCTCT